TCGAATGACGGAGGTATTGGTGCCTAGATTCAAGGTTCAACGGCTTGACTCCAAAGCTTGGAATATATAAACAAAAGTGAACGAAATACAAATATGTCGAACACCTTCTTGCAGGTGTTATTTGAGTATAGAAAAAGGTCAAAACGTCTTTTGTTTGAACTTGCAAAGGGTTGGTAAGTCCTACAGCCATGCTGTTCATCTGTGGTCTCCAGATACAGGTCAGGCCTCTGGAGGAAGCGGAGCAGTTTCAGCAACTTGTGGTTCTTCATCCCAGCTCTCTTCCACCTAACCACAGGGTGGCCGTGGCCAAGAACATCCAGCAGTCTCACGGATGACAAACAGCCCCTCGTCTTGCGCATCAAACGTCACTCCGCCTGAGTGCTGTCAGGCGGTGCTGGTGCCTCAGATCACAACGATTTTTTTTTTTGTGGAATTTTTCTTGACCAAGGTTGGAGGCCATCGCTTCTACATATCTTTGCAGTCAGGCAAGGCTACGGAACTAGTTCAAGGTTTGTGCCCTCAGAATAGGTTAGGCCGCCGGGAGGTGGACGAGAGGTAGCTGCCATACATCAAAGCTGCCCTCCCTATAAGAACAAGATCCTTCACGAGCAGCGATGCTGTGCCGTTAGTCACCAACCCGCTTCTAACATGTTTTCTCGGAGGATATCTGAATTGTTGTGTAGTTTTTTCTCAACTACTTGCTTGAGCTGCATTCATTCAAAAATAGGACGTCCCGTATTGCTTTGCAACGTTTGGTAGAATAAGCACTGCGCGTATCGCTTTGCAGGCTTTGCATGTTTTGCATGGTGGGGTCTTGCCACCAGAATGAACGTCACGGATAATAACAAACAAAACACAAATGACAACACAAGCGCACAAGCAACAAAAAGCAGGAACCCCTATTTATTCGTGATCATCCATCATCTGAGAGCATCCCCAGCAAACACTGGAAGTGTGCCGAGCTCTGTGAAGTCAGGAAGGACAACACCACGGAGGGCTGCTCCAGCAAGCGCAACATTGCTGGCTTCTGCCGCTCGTTTGCTGATCTGATCTCTTTCACTAGAAGACACAAGCCTGCCTGCACCTTTGCAGGCTTGCCCATGGGGCACTGTATAAGCAGCTTCCCTTTTGCACTCTCTCGTGTATCGTTGGGGTATTGACTTCCGCTGCGCTCATGCTACACCAAAGAGAAAACAACCCCGTTCCAAAACAAGACGGGCGGACAAAGGCGGGGCCTAGCCTTTCCTCATAGGCTGGGGCCAGCCCATGAGCCAAGAGCCAGGAGACAGCCCTCCAAACACAAGCAATCAGATTCCTCATTGCCTGTGACACTTGCAAGAACAAACCAGTTCATGAAGTGACGCCCTTTAGACCCTTGAGCACAAATGCACAGAAGAGTTGCTGTAGCAGGAGGGCATACCAAAAAAAAACTATATAAAGGAACTAATGCATGTAACAATAGAGGTATAGTATTTTTGGACGTCCCGTATCGCTTTCCAAGCAAAACCCAAAATCACACTCTGGGATGAAACGCCCAGTAAACGACGAAAATTTTGAAAACGAGAATGACTAAGGATGAGAGAGATGAGGATGAGGATAAGGATAAGAGAGCTAGTTAGAAATTGGATGAGAATGCCGATGCATGACCGCGAAGTAGGAAAGATACGAATCAGGATGATCATGAAGATGAGGCTATTAGGTTGGAGGCCCTTGCTAGTAGGGTGGAGGCCATCGCTACTACGTTGGAGGCCATTTCTACTAGGTTGGAGGCCATCTCCATGGATGATGCGACGATGTGGATGAAGACGAGAGGGACGGAAGAAGAGGAGGCTGGAGAACAGGACGATGAAGACGACAATGAGCGCAAGGCTGCAAAGGGGAGTGAGAAGTAGCAACTTTTACGTGAAAGGAATGATGAGGATGAGAAGGACTCAAAGAAAAAATTGGTTGCCATGTGGAAGAAGCCATATGAAAGTAAAATGAAAATGGATACACTGAAAGGAGGACCCAAATTCGAACAAGGACTTAGTAAGATTCCAACTTCCTGTGGGTTCCTTAAGCCTTACATCTCAATCACTGTACACTGTAGACAATGCTAAAGCAAGGAGAGCTCCACCAGCTGAGGCTGCCTTTTGTGATCTTGCACAAAGGGCAAGCAAAGGGCAAGCCGTTCGATCTTGAAAAGACCAAGGAACTGGAGCTGCTTCCACCTGGACAGGTGGAGCAGCAAGAGCAAGCGCCGGAGTAGGAGAAGGAGCAGCAAGAGCAGTGCGAGCTTCGTCGTAAGCGCAAACGGGTGGGGCGATGCCTCCCATGCCTGCCCAGACTCAAGAGGTCAGAAGTGCCACAGGTTACGGTGATGTGCTCTTCAAAAGGATGAAAAGAACGAGATGAGAATTGGTTACTACTAGCGAACATTGTTACTACTAGTAATAGTAAGGCACCTGTTACTACTAGCGTGGCACCTGTTACTACTAGCGTGGCACTTGTTACCGTTCATCTTTTCTTTCTCTTGTTCTTCAACCCAGAAAAATGGAAGTAGAACACTCGCCCACATCTTCAGTGCCTGCCGGAGGTGCAATGCCTGCAGGCGGCGCGATTCCGCAAAGGCCGGAGACTGGCGCTATTGGCGCTGTTGGCGCCATGACCGGCACTTCGTCTGGAGCCGAGGCAAAGGAGACTGGCTCGACATGGTCTACAGTCGCTTCGTCAGGACAAGGAGGTGGTGGTGCCACTGCTGCCTCAATCTCCTCAGAGCTCCAACCACAGCGTGTCCAATATCATCCGACGGCCTCCAACCTAATTGCGATGGCCTCCAACCTAACAGAAGTCCATGCACAATGAAAAAATACGAGTGTCAAAAGTGTGCTCCCCTGTCCTGAAGACTTCTCTTGGAGGTCATGGCACCAGTTACCCGGGCGCGCGCCTCTTTCAAAAGCTCTCCCTGGCCAGAATGCTAAACATTCACGTGTGACACCTCGATATTTTTTCAATTGTGAACTTTCAGGTTGGAGGCCATCGCTAGTAGGTTGGAGGCCATGTTTCTTTTTCCAATTCCTACAACCACGCTACTACGTGCTACTAACTACCCACTACTACCCCACGCTTTTTCCGAGGCTCACCTTGCGTCATGGGCTCATTGCAGCATAACTCCCTTGCAGTCCTTCCTAAATAGATATCGAGTCATTACGGCGCCATGTATTGCTTTTTAATAGAAACGTCCTTTTCCAGACTGTTTTCAGCGATAAAGATGATGAACACAAAATCATCAAAACGCCCTTTCTCGGCCTGCAGTTCCGGTGCCACCGCTGCTCCAGTGTCCTCCGGGGCAGGGCCTGCCAGCTCTTCCAGTGCATCCAGCGCAGCGAAAGGATCCACCGGAGGTGGCGGTGGAGCAGCTACCGCCTGACACCACGGATCTCCGTCGAGACACCCAAGAATCGTTGAACGCGTTCAGACTAACGAAACTTGGTGTGACTGTGATGAGTTGTCACTACTAACTTACTATATGCCTTTATCATTCGCAAGACCAAAGTATGTTCGTTGTAACAAAAGACAAAAGAGTCTTCGGAGTGTGACATGGTCCGTGGTATGGTCCACGGTCCATGGTCGTTCCGGTATCACTGAGTCAAACCGCTTGTCAGCTTCGCAGCTTCACAGAAACCTCGCCTGCTGCACTGGAGCAGGTTGAGTCCACCTGTTGAAGCCCAAATTCACCAAAAGGACAAAAGGATCTAAAATCCGGTACAAGCTATAGGTAACTAGGCACAGCGAGAACCTCCTTGGGCTCAATTAGATCCTGGCCTCTTGGTGACAGGCGGAGGCTCCCAAGGAGCCCTGCCATCTTCGCCTCCTGTGCTGAGCACAGCTTATCAGACAGGAACAAAAAAAAAGACTTGACCCACTTGACGATGCCTGTGAACAATGTTCGCTACTAGGGACTCCTGGCATCGCTACTAGGAGCAAGGACGCTACTAGGGGCTCCTGGCCGTACTACTGGGAGCAAGTAGCTACTAGGAACAAGAAGCTACTACTGGCATCGCTACTAGGAGCAAATGGCATCGCTACTAGGAGCAAGTAGCTACACTAGGGGCTCCTGGCATCGCTACTAGGAGCAAAGGGCAACGCTACTAGGAGCTTTGTCGAGTGTTTGCAAAGTTGAGCTTCCGGCGGTGGTCACCATTGTGTTCTGACGTGGAGGTCGAAAGCGAAGACCTTGGAGTCTTCTTTCTCCCACTGCGCTGTCCCTGAAATGAAGCATAAAGAGCCCGATGCCCAAGTAGTTATATAATGTACAGTAGTTCTATGCCTCCTCAACTAGAGCAAAACAAGACTTCTCTTCTACTCCTACTCCTACATACTCCTACTCCTTCTTCTTCCTCCTCTTCTTCGTCCTCCTCTTCTTCGTTCTCCTCTTCTTCTCCTTCTTCATTCTTCTGTTCAAACTACAGCATTACATGTTTGGATACTTTAGATGTTATACAAATGGAGAGAAACTCAAAGCCCCCAATTTACTAGATTTACCAAATTGCTGTCAGTCTAACTTTGGAGTCAAGGACCAGACCTTAAGCTATTACCTATTACACGCTATTCTACATCCATGCACAACCTGTCTGCCGCCAATTATCCTACGAGTATTGTTGCAAAGTGATGGTGCAGAAAAATCTTCGAAGTGTGGTTGATCGAAAGTCTGAGCTACAAGAAACTCATGTTCACAATCTGCACAACTTACCCAGCCAGGAGTTCTGAGACCCCTTAACCCTGTACAGTCCTCATGGTCCTGCTCCGTGCTTGAGCTAGATCCAACCTATATAATTGCATCTATGGGGCCCCGGTGGCCGCGCGAGCTCGTGGCTATGCTTGGTGGAGCTGGGCGCCTCTCGAAATCGAAATAGCACAATTCCATGTGGAGTCTTTCTGTGTTTAGATGTTTTGGATGTGGGCAGGATCTAAGCTGCTTGAACTTTCTGCACATGGTGCTCGATGCCTTGCTATGGGAGTTAGGTGTCATTACCTTCGCAGGCTGGTCGCGGCACTGAAGCTGTTGAAGCCTGCACCGGCACTTTGCCATTGGCGATGTCCCGCGCTGCATTCAGTGCGGAGACCCAGAGCTCCGCATCCTTCAGCTTGTTCACTAATTGCTCATTGCCTAAAAACAAGCTGTTCCCCGCCTGGTAGGAATGGGTGAAGAGCTCATAGGTCCTTTCCGCAGTGAGAATGGAGAAGCCGAAGGGGTGTTCACCTCATCAACAAGCGACTGTCATATTAGTGCCTGACAGTATCGATTCACTGAAATGCTTGGTTTTTAGACACATGATTGTTTTGTGCTTGGTGCAGCATGAGCCGTGAAAAGGAAGGCTTTTTCGAGCAATTGAGAACATGAGAGTTCAATACTGTATTGGAGCAGCGTGCACCGTGCAGAAGGTTACCTGGTATGTTGCCAAGGAAGTCAGCTGGCGACTAGTGTGCATTGATCCTGAAACCTAGAGTGAGTAGCTGCATCTGGAGGATTTGGTTGGCAAGCATTATGAGCAGTGGTGAGCTCCGGCTGGCACTGAGTCCAGCACTCTTCACGCCTGTATCTGGCAGTTGGTCTGCTGCCACAATGTCCTTCCAAAGCTACATACAAACCCTACAAGTATCAAGGTCTGCTACAGCAACCTATTTGATCCTGTCCTTGAAGCGAATTGGATGCGAAACTGTCTTCTGGCTTTCGGATTGAGCATAGAAGAAAAGCTGTGAGTTGAAATCGATTGTGAAATATCTCTTCGTCGTGCTGGAGAGCCATCGGGCTTTTGCACCTTCCCCTGCGGGAGCTTTCGTTTGCATCTCCAACAAAGGGCATCGCTACTAGGAGCAAGGACGCTACTAGTAGCTCCTGGTCTTACTACTAGTAACAAGAAGCTACTACTAACAAAGGGCATTGCTACTAGGAGCAAAACACATGATGGCTTGCACATGACAGTTTAAGCGCCAGGAGTTCAAGCAGTTTTGAGCGGCTTGAGTGGAGTCTACATCACCTGGAGTCTACAAATCAGAAACCCCTTGCGCTGCTTCACCCAGGCCTTTGACTTTCGTCAACCATGAGCTGTAGGCACCTGTGAAATTGGACCTGGCATCCATGGCGCCCACATCATCCTCCATGGAGCACAGAGGAAACCAAAGCTGTGACTTTTTTTTACTGACAGGGCCAGCTTCTAAGGATCTCAGAAGGGGGACATCGTCGGGTACCATGTAAAGCTGAGTTATAGAAAGTGTGTGCTTCACAGCAAGTTTGTCTGGTAGCTTTTGCTTTGGAGAGATCCGTAGTGCGTGGTTTACCCAGACATATTCAATATTCTACACATCTGAGCTGTGTGTGAAGCCACGATCCATGATTTTAGAACTTCCTGATCTGGCTTTGAAAGCAAGCACGTCGTCATACATACGCAAGCGTGGCTCTTGAGACTCTCTAAGTCCTTTTGTTGGAATCCACCAGCTGCATTGCCTCCCAAAACGGCCCTTTTTTTGACAGCGAAAAGTCCATCTGGCAGGGCAAATCCTGCCAGCTAAGAGAGTTCGCCCCAGCAAACGAGCTCGCCTTTCATGCGATTCTGGGGAATCGAACAAATACCACACAAGTCACACAAGCCACTTCTGGGCTCGGTTGGACCATATTGGTTGACTTCAATTTCTTTCAAAGTACAACCATGCAGCTGAAGAATCTTGAATGCCACCAACTGCCTTCCCCTGACAGCACATCTCAGCTTCCAAGGCTCAAATGGGCGCTATGCGCTTGAGCGGATGCGCTAGCTGAGGAAGGCACAATTTCAAGTCAGGCTCAGTTCTCCAAGTGTCAATGTTGCCTTCGGTCCATGAGGGAAAAAGTGTCGGCTTTGGCAACACTATACTGCTATCCAGTATCTGAAATCTCTTTCCCATGTTTGCCATCGGCCATGGGAAAGCGTTTTCCAGGCTGAAAAAAAAAGAATGCAGAGCTTACACGAGTCATTCGGCAGAGAAAGATTCACAAAACTGTTGCAGCTTGAGTCAGCAACACAAGGCTGGGGACGTTGTGCCCACACAAATCGAATTGGAGCCATCCTAGAGACTTCTGATATCCAAAAATCTGCTCCGGCATGGCAAACGTTCATGCATTGGAAACTCTAAGGTTTGGGTTTCCCATTTTCCCGGTACAGCACCTTTGGGAATTTGTCGGGAGCTTCAAAGCAGCCCTTCTTCAAATGCTGAGTCATCGGTTTGCCCGAGAGGGCATCGAACCAACGACCTCTCAAGTGTCCCGCTGGGCCAGGACAGTAAGTCTGCCCTTCCATGGCAGTCGAATTTTCGCCATTGTTCAAGAACACCCAAACCGTGTCAGCTTCGGCCGTCTCTCGCGTGAAGACCAGCGTCCTAACACAAGTTCCCACGGACAATTTCACGGTGACCAGTGGATCATGGCTATTCAAGCTGTGTCTAGCAGGCCTTTACAATTGTGCAGTACAGATACAGATGCCAACAACTGCTGTTTGATTATGTTTGGTGTTCTGCTCGTTCTGCTCTGCCCGAGCATCCTTTTTGAGGTTCCTTTGATCTCCGCAGCACCAACACCAATGCCCAAAGATTTGCGCAGCTTATTCCTCAGTTGGAAAATCTAGAGCAATTCTGAAGGGTTCAACGCAATAGATCCCTTGATGCGCGCTCTGTCAACCCTCCGTGCAGTCCAAGTTTCAGCTTCTGTACGAAGAGATATTGCCAGGTGTCTGTCCTATAGCCTCAGGGAGTGCGTCTTTCAAACTGCACCTCCTGTTCTTGAGCCTGTTGAAAACAAATTACACACCGCATTGCGGCTTTCCCCAGGTTTGAATAGAAGATTCATGCTCGTGCCCCTACAAAATTAAGCGATTGTAGTGCTTGGATTATGGAAAATGCAAACAGCTCTGAAGGAGTGTAGATGAAATTGCTGCGTGAAAAAAAAAAAATAAACACCCAAACGCTTGCCCACCTGTATGCCACAATGACTCTCGCAATGCATCTTGGCCCTTTGTATTTTCAGGGCCTTGATGCCCATCCAGGCCCTGCTCCGTGCCGTAGTATAGAATTGGAATGCCACGGGACAGAAAGACCCATACCAAGGCTTGCCGGATCCTGCAACAAAACTCCCCAGAAAGGTCAAGGAGTCCTGGGTATGGGTCAAAAGATATGGCTGAGGATGGGTTCCACCGGCTGCAGTCATTTGTCCTTTACCATCTAGGTTTTGAGAACGGTTGTTCTTGAATTAATGCGGACCTGTTAAACGACCTGTCGAGCTTGGTCCGGATGGTGCAGCAAGTTTTGGCCCAGTGCCATAGTCACGACACATGAAAAGCTGCATTGCAGTGTATGAAAACTATGATGCTCTAAAGCTCCTGAGAGTATCATAGCGGCAGTAGTAAGTCAGGCGACTGTATTCATCGTGGTTGTCGGCAAAGTTGCCCATCCTCAAATCACCACATTTCACAACCTTCGATTGAGCCTCTTGGGCCGAGTCTCATGTCGAAGTTCGATGTTTGAGAAGAGAGCTGCAAGGAGAGAACACTTCCAAGGCCCACCATGTTTGCCTCGTCTTCCCATGTACCTTTAACGAGAAAAACAAATCAGTTGGAATCTACAAGAGAGCAGTTCCGGCTCTTGTTTCGGCGCGTTCCAAATTCTACATTCATCCTACCAAGACCACTCCAACCAGCTGCCTAAACGTAGAAGTACACGGCACTCAGGTGCTGTCTTGTGAAGTATAGGACAGGAAGACACAAATTAATTACTCTAAAAGAAAATGGAATGGGATAGCATGAAAAAAGACATGCACCGAATCATGACAGGATCTGCACTGTGAGCGCCTTGTAAAGAGTAATCTCCAAAGTCCCCACCAATGCGATAGCCACAAAAAGCCCGCGGAAGCTGGTAGAAGGGCGGAAAGTTCAACAAACCCAGAAGGCCACTCTGACCGCCACCTCAAAAACTGCCAAAGACTCCATTCTCCTCATGGACTCATGACTCTTCGTGACAAGTAAAAGGTTTTGTGATGATCAAACACGCGGACATTGACATGGACGCCTCAATCACGCTTTCCCACACAATGCTTAATTATGTACCGTATCTGTTTGTTTCTGTTCCTCAACGCTTATTTATTTGTCTTGCCTTGAATGCCTGATGTTTCTTGACTTGTTGTAATTGTCTGTTTCTGCTGTCGGCTTCATTACCAGCCCACGTTATGGGCTATTTGTGTTTGTGATGCCTTTTTCTGGCATCTCGGTATATACTGTATAAATATATATATATAATCTTCAGTTTCACAACATGTTCATAGATTTCACAAGATGGTCATCGATGTATGGTCATCGATGTATGGATGTTGTCATCGACTGATTAAAATGGGGCTGAGGGTGGGGGTGAGTTGGCTGGAATGACGGCGTGGATGTCATGTGGAGAACATTGCTATTGATTTCTCAAGATAGTCTTCGGTCACAACAGTGTCATCTGTGTCATAAAATAATTAGCATTTGAACCGCAGACTTGACAGGGGGGTATATCTGACTTCTTATTATCTTCATGGAATGCAAGGCGACTCAAATGTTAAAGTAATGGTTTTTGCACTGCAGCTCTCGAAAATGTTTTACCTTTTTCCCGATGGAACTAAATGTGTGTTGTTTCCTTTTGATTTTGTTTTGGTTCCTTTTGGTTTCTTTTTGATTCCTGGTTTTCCTTTTCATTCCTATTCATTTCCTGTTGTTTCCTTTGATTTCCGTTTGTCTCCTATTGCTTTCCTTTTGGGTCCTTTTCATTTCCTTTTGGTTCCTTGTGTTTTCCCTTTCCTTCCTTTTCCTTTCCTCTGAGTTCGTTTTGATTTCCTTTCGCTTCCTGTTGCTTTCCTCTTCATCCCTTCCCTTCCTTTTGATATCCTTCTGATTCCTTTTCATTCCTGTTGCACTCCTTTTCCTTTCCTTTTGCTTCCTACTGATTTCCTTTTGTTCCCTTTTCATATCCTTTTGCTTCCTTTTCACTTCCTTTTGTTCCTTTTGATTCTTTTTCATTTCCTTTTTCACCCCTCTTAGTCTCTTTTTGATCCCTCTTGATGTGCTTTGGATTCCTTTTCCTTCCTTTTGATTTTCCTTTTGACTCCTGCAAATACAGTGTATTTGCGGGTGTCTTTGTCTTACTTGCTCCAAATAGGGGGTCGGCGGCACCTGGCCGTTAGCACAGTCTATCCGGCGACGCCGCTCCGTTACCCCTATCAAGCCTAGCTTGCTATATGGAGACGCGCTCCATGCTGCCGACCTCTTTTCTAGCATCACCAGGGCTTCGTCGGGGGGGCGTCGCGGGCGGGGGTTTAATGGTCGAAAAAGGTCGCTGCGGAGCTTATAGCTTCAAAACCTCTAGAACATAACGCATTGAAAAAAGAGACAAACTTTTGAGGAGAAATTCTGGTCGAGCATCATCTTTTGGTACATGACCAGGCTTTACAGTGTTTTTGCAAACTGTATGTAGTTTATGAACAATGCTGCTCGTACTCTGGTGACGCCAATGGTGCTCGACGCAAGTGCTACCTCAAAACTTCCTATCCCCTTTGCATACTTGCTTCTCTAGATATAGAGCTTTACAGTAGCCGTTCTTTATCATTTTCCTCTGCTGCTGACGCTTTCTTGACGAAAATAAATACGTCCTGGTGATGTTCAAACTGTCGGCTTGCGCTCGTGTGCGTGCGTGTGCGCGAGTGCGTGTGCATGCGGGTGCGGGTGCGGGTGTGCATGTGCATGCGTGTGTCTGAAGCTGAGGTTGCCTGGCTTTTCCACTTGAGGCCAGAGGGGGTGAACGAAAGCTAGCCGGGTTTCCGGTGGTCTGCTGCTGGTGCTGCTGCTGCCGCTGCTGCGCTGGGCGCTGCTGCGCTGGGTGCTCTGCAGGCGCCGGGTCGTCTGCTGCTGCTGCTGCTGGCGCTGGGTGGTCTGCTGCGGCTGCTGCTGCCGCGGCGTTGGGTATGCTGCTGCTGCTGCTGCTGCTGCTGCCGCCGCTGGGTGGTCTGCTGCTGCTG